CCAATTATAAGGGAGAAGTGTGCTGCTGGGGGAAGTATTTAGTGCTTAGGAGAAATCTAATAATCTACGAATGGCCATTACAAGAACAGTAAATGGCTGCCGCCCAAACGGAGCTCTAGAGAGACAGCAATGCCCCTAATTTTACCTCACACTCTGCTCACACTCGCCAAAAACTGTAATAAATAAATGAATCAGTTGGATCAGCAGTCGTAGTTGTTTGCACTGTGCAGATCCCATTAGAATAGTTATTTTCTGCTTGTGACAACCTAATTAAAATGTACAGGTACAGAGCTGGCACAAAAGGTAAAAAAAAAAAAAAAAAGGGAGGGGAAATTGTGAAAGCCTGTCAGAGGAGAGGGAACCAGAATCTTTAAATGTGGGAAAGAAACAAAAATAATTTGCAGTGGAAAGCTAATGAAACTGTCAAACAGGTGAAATTAAAATACTTTGGCTCAGCTCTGGTGAGATCTGTGACTGAAATCCAAAGCTGGATTTGTTGACTTTAAAAAAAAAAAAGAAATCTCAAAGATTAGTGCTCATCTGAAAGGTATTCAGAAGAACAAGAGATTATGTTCAAATAAATGAATAAAGCGAATCGACAGAGCTGTTTTATATGCACTGATATAAGCTAGCCAATATTATTTTTTTTTTTAAATCACAATAAGAGTTGATCATAAAACCAAAGCACTTAAAGAAAAGCATCAGGACGGCATTTCTAAACATCATTTTATGAAATGTTGCTAACTTCCATCACAGAGATAAACAAGACAAATAACTATTAATCTACACACGTAAGCAGGGGCGGATCTACTGGGGTGGCATGGGGTGGCAGCTGCCACCCCAAACGAGAGCCTTGCCACCCTTGTTGCCACCCCAGTTAGTGACAATGAATTCAATAAATAGTTATGGCAAATCGGACATTAAGCGCATGAAACTCTTTTTTCCGACAACATTGAATGCAACACAATGTAACCTGACACCTACTGCTAAGTAGCGGGAAGTGCGAGAGATAAAATTAAATCAGCTAATCAACCACCGCGGTGTTCAGGCGAAAACTTAATAATCACAATATAGACATTAAGCCTGACAACATAATGTAACAGACTGGATGTTCTGTTTTAGTGTTTTTGCTACTTTTTTGTGTGGGAAATGTTTGCTTTTGGGTGTTGATTCCCCTGATCAGTAATCTCTGCTCTATCTGCTCTTTGACCTGTTGTTTGTCGGTTGCCATGGCAACATGTCATACAGAGCGAGAAAAGGCGAAATAAAAGTTCTTGGAGCTATTTTGTCTTTACTTCTTTGTCCATTTGAATTTTGTTACTTTATTCTTAAATGTCTATTTTTTGTATTATTTACAGAATTTATTTGTAGGTTGATAATTGTTGATTTTATTTATTTTTTGTTTCATTATTTTTCTTATTTTCTAAATTTAGACAGGAAGTAATGTGGGTCAGTCCACTTTCTGTAAGTGAAGGGGCCTGAAGGACCAGCAGGCATTTGGGTTTGGGGCCGATGGTTTTTACCAGAGCAAGAGTGGTAGGTAGCATGAGAACAAATGAAAGTTTGAACTCTGTAATTGGTGAAAGAGGAAAATAAATCACCAAGACCAATCAATAAGTTTGGACATTGAACCTTGTTCTGCCTGTGTCAAGAAACATGACCCCCAGTGCCGTAGTGAAACTTTTATTGGATGTTTGGCTTGGCAAACAGTCAGAAGTGGTTATGTCTAGTTTGGTTCTTCACCTGTTTATCAGCTTTATTGTGGTGCACTGCAGCCACTGCAATTCCTAAAAACAAGCGACAAAAACTGAGCTAATCCCCTGTGTTTGTAAAACGTGGTGATATTTACAACAGTCGTCAAACTACGGCTCCTACAGCATATTTAAAATAAAATAATTGACCAATATAAATAGAAATTCGCCCCTTGTTGTATCTTGACAGAACTAACAGAAACTAAACTGTTTATAGATTTGTATCATCTATAAACTGATATCAAACATCAGTTTTCTAATCTTTATTTTAAGTCGTATTTAATAGATATATCCAATAACAAATGATGGCGCTACTAATATTTTCGTGACAGATTTCCCCTGCCACCCCTGAAAAAATCCCTGCCCCCCTCTTGCCACCCCATAAATATTTTTCTAGATCCGCCCCTGCACGTAAGGACAGTTAAGGTTGACCAATGTATGCATGGAGAACATGCATATTCAGTCTAGACAGACCGTGGCCAGGATTCAGATTGAGAACCTTCGTTGCCACTAAATGTCGGTAAATAATGCACACTGATCCTTTAATACAAAACCGTTACTTTACCCGAAATATCAGAAAAATTTCTTATATCGTGTCTTTAAAAAGTAAATCGAAAACCAGAGGACGACTTATTACTATGTGCAGCAGTAGAGTGGAAACAGGATAAGACATATTTAATTAATGACTTGCTTTCAAAGAGCGTATTTTTATGATGCAGCTTGGCTGGAAATTAAATAACCTTGTGATGCCTGCGCCCCGCTGAGGAAACGAGAACAAAAGAGAGTGAGATGGTCAAGGTGCTTCTCTGAATAAGAATTCATGGGAGCCAGTGCCATGAGACAAGCCAACAGGAAGTGTATATAAAAATGAAATGGGGAGCGGGATGGCATGTACAAAAATGTGGAATAACAATAAGGAGAGCTTTTTAAGTGTGAGAAAGAGGCAGTACACAATGATGCCTCAAACACAACATTGGCTTCTTTCTTACTGCCTTTCTTTTATTCAGCTTCAGTCACACAGGCATGTCTGTGTGCACACAGTATTATGTAAATAGTCTCTTCGGCAGAGTGCTGCTGTCACTGAGCGAGCATCCTCTGGGCCATCCAGGCAGCCTCATTAAAACGAGGCACAGCATCCATTAATAGATACCAGTGTGCATGTACACATATGCACACACACACACACACATCCATACGTAGACAGTCAATAAAACACACAAAGCATTCACAGACACCAATAAAGGACCTCCTGGGAAGCACATCTCTAAATGTTCCTCTTAGGTGGCAGTCAAAAAAGTGTCGCCAAGGAAACGACTTAAATGTCACTGAGAGCAATGCTACAAAGAGTGTGTGGTGACCGAGACTGCAGACAGTAGAAGAAAAGAGTGGACAATGCAGCTTTAAACTAAGGAATTAGTCTACAGTGCGGGTTATTCTTATGCTAAATGACTTCTTGGGGGGAGCAGGTCTTTATAAGAGCCAGACTTTTATTTATAGGATATAGAGTTCTTATAAAAGTCATGGTATGGTATTTGTGAAATCTTTCACATTAAAAGTTACCAGTTGCTTCTTATTTCCAAAAAAATAAAATAAATCTGTTTTTGTGACATTCAGGAAGAAATACATGGTAACACTTTATTTGAAGGGGGTGAATAAGACTGACGTGACACTGTCATAAACATCTGTCATGAACATGAATAAGCCTTCATGAATATTTATGACTGTTGTCATAAAGCGTCATTCTGTAAATTATGACACTTTTAATACACATTTGACATTATTCAAAATGTCTTTGTTATGACAATTTGACATTAACCAAAAAGTCATTGCTGATATAAATGTGTTATAAAAGAATTACTGATTGCACTTTAAAAATTAGGTAACTTTATGTTATTAAAGGTAAAGTTTAAACAGTCATAAATATTCATGAAGGCTTATTCATGTTCATGACAGGAGTTATGTCATGTTTATGAAAGTGTCATGACAGTCTTATTCAACCCCCTTCAAATAAAGTGTTACCAAATACATTTATTTCATAGATATTTCCCTACTTCAAAATGTTGAAAACATTGAAACATTTTGCTTTTAATTATGTAATGGAGATGCCAGCTCTTGACACAAGACCAACTTTAAACCATTTTCTTTTTTTTTTAAAGCACAATGCAAACAGAAATAAATTAATAAGTATAAAAACACAGCCAAAACTTTAGGTTTGGCCTCATAAGTATATTAAAAGCAAATACTTTATTCATATTTAAATTAAAGAATGGTATAAAAAACGCTCATCTCTACCGTACATGGAAAATTACATTGGAGACAAAACCGACTGTCCTAATTGAGAGAAGATTTGAAGGGTTAGGATTTTTTTTTAATTAATGTCCAAAAAACATGGCTATAGTTTGCTTTGCTTGTTTTTTGTTGGAATATTGAAGAACAATGTGATCTGTCACCTGATGCCGAAACAGTATCCTAGTATCAAGTGTGGTTTTGGCTCAGAGATGCACCGTGAATACAGAGCAGAAATGTGCTGCAAGCATATTTGAAGACGAGCAATTTGTCCTGATATCTACAGAATGAACATCAAGTATAAAAGGGCTGAAGAGGCAAATTAGTACAAAACGGAATAAGCAGAAAAAATAATGTTAAGCATGAAGTGCTCCTAACTGGCTAGTGGCTATGCTATCAAGTAGATTTGTCTACAGTCACTTCATTCACTCTGGGAGATGCCATTTTGCTAGTTTATGTTTGCATTTGTCAATGCCTCAAAACAAAACAAAAATATCCGTAGAAAATACATTTCTCTTCTAAACACCCGAGAAATGACAGTACTTTTTAAATGATAAGTAATCTGTAGTCAGACTTCTTTTTCAGGACAAATGTGGCATCTGTGTTTGCAAACAAGTACCAGTTTATTCTGCCAATAAACACATTTAGTATTCTGGGTTTTATGTTTAAGTTACTAAGACACTCTTAAATTTAGACTTTTTTCAAAAAGTACCTTAAAAATCTCAGATTGAACTCACTGAAACTCGTACAAGCCCAAAGATGCAGACAAAAAAGAAAAAAAAGGTTTTGCCAAAGAACTATTCTGTGATTAAATTACTGAAGTGAGAAAGGAGAAAGCAAGAGTTTGAAAAATGTGATGCCCGCATTACGACGCAAACATATATGCATGTATAGGTTAAACTTTAACATTCTGTTTGATACCTGTAAAGTAAAAGGAGCCCTCTGTCTGTTTTTGATCTGCTGGCCCCGCAGGTGGCTCCCGAGGTGTGGGCTTCATCCGCTTTGATAAGAGGATAGAAGCAGAAGAGGCCATCAAGGGCCTGAACGGCCAGAAACCTTCTGGTGCCGCAGAGCCAATCACGGTCAAGTTTGCCAACAACCCAAGTCAGAAGACCAGCCAAGCCCTCCTGTCGCAGCTCTACCAGTCACCCAACCGCCGATACCCTGGGCCCCTCCACCACCAGGCTCAGAGGTTCAGGTGAGTTGACCCAGGATAGGTCTGGTAAGAGTTCAGGCAGATTAAACCGTATATGTGACTTTAAAGATGTGCCTCAAGCAGAGTTTACAAACCTCAGTATCAATATGTGCTTTATGTATCGTGCAACCCTAGAAGAAACTGCTTAATGTATATCTATTTAAGGATTTTATCACTACTGGGATGTATATTATATAAACCCAGGAGAATGCAAGAAGAATTAAATATTTAGTCAGCAGAAGAAATGCAGCAGGCTTCAATATTGACATTTGTTTTTAGTCAATATATCTGCTATAAACAGCAGGATGATTTCGAAAATATTTGCATCAAATGAAATTGATAAGATTTCTTTAAACAGAGGATGCAACACCTACACACAGAGAGCATGACTCATCTCTTTGTCTGTGTTACACCAGCGAGGCTATTTTCCTCCTGCGAACAGTCATTTTGCCAAATAGGTCCTCTGTTTGAACAACAGCTGTGAGCTCTGCACCTGGTGCAGGTGTCCAGTAGACCAATGAGAGCTCTGGGTGTGTCCACCCCGATCAGAGAGAAACTGTTGAGAAGAGACTGTGGGGTTCTGTCGTTCACGACTTTCTATGTCTTGTCATTTCACCTCCTTGCCATCATGACAGTTTCTTCACTGCATCTTTTTTTTTTTTTTTTTTTTTTTCCTGGGAAAAAACATGTATTGGCGTTAAAAAGCTTTAAAAGCAACACGTTTCTTTTACGTTACAGTCATAATTAAACATAACAGACACACTCATAATGAATCCTAATAATGTTGTCCGCTCTTTTAACTGCACAAAGGGACAATGCAAGTGCCAGAATTAAAATGACTGGTAATTCAAATTCATATGGCACAATTCCTGCCCTGCAGGCTGTAATTTTATTTTTTGTATTATTTTCCGTTGCATAAAAAGGGAACAGAAGATTTGAAAGTAAAATGATTCCTAAATCAAATAGGGTTTAAATAGGATGTTAAGCAATTTTCACCTCCAATAGTTGTTTTTGCACAGGTTGGTCATTTTCACACCAAGCCATGGCTTAATTTTCTATACACAAGCCCACTGCCTTAATGATGTCACACCTAATCATTTCTTACGATTCACACTACCCTGAAACTGATTAGTTGTTTTAAATCACATCCACATCTGGAGATGGTTTCGTCTTTCCCGCAGACACACATTACGCTCCATCGTCAGACTCAGTGAGAATGGTTCAGAATTACAGACAGAACATGTGTTTATACATTTTCCTCTCCGCTACAATAACACTAAGCCGGTCGTGCTGTTTACTCTCCATCAAAGTCAGAGTTTGGAAGGTATTTTTCTTCTGCAGCGGCTTCCCTGGTGTGACACCTGAGCGATGTAGCGTGGCTGTGTGTCTGTGATACGCCAAGCCAATTTACAGGCTCCGCAGGAGAGCTGTCGTTTCTCATCACAACTCACAACCACAGGACACTTTCTCACTGTGTCCTCCTGCTCCTGCTCTCTGCTCCTGAGCCCCTCAATGAAACCTCAACACTTTGCAAGTTTTAAATGTGCTTGGTGAGCACTACTTTGTCGTTTCTCTAAAACTGATGCCTAAACAAAAGAACTGTAAAAATACAAACAAAAAAAAGAGTATTATTATGTTTTAATGTCTTCTTTTTCTAAAATGACTCAACTTATGAAAAAAAGACTAAAACTGAGAGCCATATTAAAGGACCGATTGGGACTACAAAATCACCTGCAAAATCCTAAAGTTATCTTTTAAATATGTTCTTCAAAGTCAAATGTCCACATAGTCCACTATTATTTTTAAAAATTTTGGGAAAGCCCAGATGACAGTATCAGGGATTTGTATATTCTTTCAATCAGTTGATTGACAGCATTTGTTAAGTGGATGTGTGTCTGTGCACAGATTTTTGACCACCACCTCAAACATACCGCTTTCTTGTGTGAAATCATGGGGCAAATCCTTGGCTAAAATTTCTAGATGTTGAGAAAAGCCGTCCCGACTGCGAAGTATGGGAAGTAGATGTTGTGTAGATGTTTTGCTGTTGGAGGGAGTGGTGCACATAAAACAGATTAAATCATTAGAAAAGAAGAATATATGGAACATACTGAAGCAAAATCTCAAGTCATACAATCCTAAGGAAAGGATTTGGTATATCAGAGTATTCCAAGTGGATAATGACTCCAAGTATACCACCAAGTTAGTTAGAAAGTGCCTTAAGGACAATAAAGTCAATGTTTTTGAGTGGTTAACCTAAAGCCCCAATCTAAGTCCTTTGGAAAATGTTGCTTTCACCCATGTCATATAGTTTGAAATGTATTAAAAAGATGTGCTTAAGTTCAAAAAGCACTAAAATATATACAGCTTGGAGTAGAAAAATATAAATAAAAAAATTCTAATTGCTGTGCAAATAAACACTTTAACTCAGTTTAAGCTAATAAGACACTGCTTCTTGGAAACGAGTACCTTATGCAAACTGTTGCCTTAATAGGTTTATTTATTTTTTTATTTTTTCAAAACATGAAATATCACTTTGATCCAGCATAACATTTCAGGCTGAAGTCACATGTACAAATGTTCCTTCTTTAAATCCACTGTAGTGATGGACTTCTTTGCAGGTTTGAAAACAATGTTTCAAGCTCCGAAAAGGACCGATAACTTGCGTGACAAAATCACATGGGCCTGCTGTAACGCGTGTTAATGTATATTGTACTTGTACAGTCTATTTCCAAGACAGAAAACATAATCGACTCCCAACACAATACACCAAACCCTACATCCTGGGCTTGTTTCTGATCCTCAGTTGTTAACTAATGCTAGTAATTAGCAAATTAGCCTCATTATATCCAGGGCAGGAGCCAATTTTAATTGAACAGATTTTTGTTTTAGAAAAGAAAAGGAAAAAAAGCGCCCTTTCCTCCATTAGACTGCATTGATGGGGAGCACAAAAGCCCTATTGTTTCTGCGGCGCTTGTAGAGGCAGTGTGAAGAGCTGGCAGAGTGTTTGCACGGTGAGTCTGCATCCGCGTGTGTTCATACATATGTGAGGGTAGGGAGCGAGTTTTAGCAGCAGGTTGTTTTGTTGTGGCCCCACGGCCAGCAGATGTCTTGATGCTCCCAGGGATGGAGCACCTCTCCTCTGAGCTTCCTCTCCAATTGACTCATTTACCCACAAAGTAGGCTGTTCGTTCCCTTCCCACATAATGGGCTAATTACTGTTTTAATGATTCCGCATATCCTTCTCTCCTCTGTAGTTCTTTGTTTTCAGGCTGCTTTTGCATTTTGCGCTTATTCTAGGCAGGAAAATTGCTACAACGCAGAGTAACTGCACTATGATCTTGGAATAAATGGATCTACAAATAACACAAAATGTAAATGAACTATTTAAAAGCAGGTTTGCTGCAATATAAAAGCATTGTTCGTGCTTAATTATTATTCATTTACAATTCAAAATATTTGACTTAATTAACTGCTACGCTACAAGACAATTCTCTGCAGGATTTCTAATGTGCAAGGAACCATGTCCCCACTGCTGAAGATTAGCCAGATACACCACCTCACCCAGCACTTTGTATTGTTCTTGATGATGTGAGGTTTGAATGCAACGTTCATCCTTGGAAACCCAATCCAAAAAAAAAAAAAAACTCTGCACACTGCTGTGGATCTAATCTGAAGGCCACATAAAGTTCGGAGGTCTGTAGCTACTGACTCGTCGTAAAGTTGTCCACTTCTCAGTCTATGTGCCTAAAATCTGCTGACCCCACTCACTGATTTTATGTTGCTTTCTGCTTTATTGCAGATTTGTAGTTGTTCTTGCTCACACGTTGTTATAAAACAACTAACAGCGTAAAATTTAGTAGGGGAAGGAATTTTATGAGTGCGCATGGCATCTTATCGAGAACAATCCAGGAATTCACTGAGCTCCTGAAGGTGAGCTAAATGTTTATAGAAGCAGCTTCGATGCCTAGTTGCTGGATTTGAAGCATCATGTGGTTTATAGTCAGACGTTTTGGGCCGTTTTAATCCATATTTGAAGGAGCATGTGTTTTGCTCTAACTAGGAAGATGGACAGGAGTAGTTTCAAATTAAAACAATGATAATTGTTTTTTTTATATATGGTCTGTAAATATCTCAAGGTGGTTTTAATAAATCAGCCTGTAGGTATTGGGCTAAATTTCATGTTGGTATTGGTTAATTATGAAGCATTTGTAATTTATTTAAAATAATGTTAAAATATAACATCTGGATATTAGGTAATCTTGTTATATGTTGTTACATTTTGTATCCAGCTCAGCTTTTCTTTCCAGACAACTCAAACTTTATGGAGCCAAAGATCAAGTCATTTGCACTCCAACTATCTACCATGTATTGATGTTTTTATTCAGCGTTGCACATTCCAAACAATCCAAACAACTACCGTCTTACATGAGTTTAAATGTCAAACAGGAGGAATTAAAAAGCTCCAGGTTACGTTAGTTTATTTTAAAGCTTAGAAGCAGTTTGTTTGAAACATGCCACTGTGCGATTATGTTGCAAAATATGATTTTTAGAATAAGATTTTGAAGAAGATGACATGTAAAGAATTGTTGACTGTGAAAGTCAAGGAGAAACAACCTTCATGGTTGAGTCAAAGTCGGAGTTTGTAGAGATTTTAAGAGGAATGAGGCGTCGCTGCCCAGCTGTTGTTCAATAAGCCGTGGCCTCTGTCCATTAGGCCGGAGGAGTTAATAAGATATGAAACAGGCCAGGCCCAAGTGACAAATGAAGGTCATTGAGTCACCAAGCAGACTGCATCCATCCACCAGGGCCAACATTTCTCACAGCCCACAGGTTTCTGAAGCCCAGCGCGCCGACACAAACTGTAATCGACACTGGATGACTGTAACGGATGAAACCCACAGGCTGAAATTATTATGAAACCAAAACATCTCCCAAAAGCTAACCCTTTTAGACGGAGGACACCATCTGACTAACGCTCGGCTTTTCCACCTGACCCGTTATCACTTAACGGGTTGACCCCGACCACAAAGACAGACATTCGCAATTTCATGGCTAGTTTAACATCCAGTCATGTTTTTGTTGTTCTGCCACACAGAAAGCCAACTAATCATCATCGCCTCTCTCACTCACCATCATTCAAATGCCAAACCATTACACTGACAGAACTCTGGATCATTTCCTTGCCATCTCAGGTGTTCTCTCAATTAAGTTAGCACAAATTAAAAACCCTGTATAATAAAAATTCATTTACCTCCATCCTAATAAACCATCAGTGTGGTGGCATAACTTGTGCAGAAACCCACATGCAATCTATTGCATGTATAATGATATAATGATTTGCAATGGCTTGGCATTCTGGCTTCACTATCATGCCAGTGATGCCTGATGCAATGCTGCGCTCACACTCTGCCTGCAGTTAATGTTCTGGATGTAACTGCAATGCTAAACAATCACCAGTTTACCTATGTGGTCTTGTGTAAAAAGTTAATTGGAAGTTCCTACAATTATTCTGAATGTTCCTGAAGCACACTACTGTGGTATTAGCATGTGCAGTGCCTGCTCAGCGAGCCAGTAACCAAGTACAGACCATACTGATTGTACTGTAGATTCATGGACTGATGATAGCATTTTCTGCTGGGGCTCCTCAGTGTAATGGACCAACTTTAGATGGGTTTGTTTGTACTTGAGTGAGGAGGTCCATGCAGTTCCTGCAGGGACTTAACATTAGTTCCATTGATTGAGTCGACCATCTGCCCACCATTAACCCCAGAACCCTCCTTCTCTTTACAGGCTGGACAATTTGCTTAATATGGCCTATGGCGTAAAGAGGTAATTAAAAACTTCACCCAATGCCAGATGTCCATGTTGACTCAATGATTTTTCAACTTCCTTTTTTCCTTTTCTTCTTTTTCCTAATTCAGTTTTCCTTGTGGTTTTTGCAGTCACTTTAAGTTTGAATTTGTTCAAGGTCAAAAGCATTTTTAATTTTGAGATTTGTTTGATTTTTTTTTTTTCTTCTGTCGGCTTGAATTGATTCCCTACCAACCACCTCAGGTGTAACGAACAGAAAACTGTCAGTCTTTGTTTTCAGTGGTGTTTAATCCTTTTGTTTTGATTATGACAAGTGCTAGTGGTGTTTGAATTGTTTTGGGTTGTTTCTGTGTACTCAACGGATTTTGTTCTCTGGTTATAATTTCTAGGTGTGTGCATTTATTATTTTTTTCTTTTACTTCTAGGGGATTCAGGTTCTCCTACCTTCTCATTTTCCAGTAACTCTAAGAGACGCCCCTTTTTCTTTCATTATAAGCTAACAATCTGTAGTCGTACACAGTCTCTTACTTCTGCACTGTGTACGACTGAATAAAATTACACAACTATCTGTTACATCTTAGCAGTTTCTACAGAAGTTAGGAAATGAGACGCAAGATAAGGTTGGATGAACTTGGATCCCTGCTGGAAACAGGAAATGCTGTTTCACTGCAGACAGCTCAAGCTTTGCTCGGCACCGCTCTTCTCAATTTCCTTCTTTTCGGCTCCCATCTTTCATTTTGCTGTCCTGCTACCAAAGGTGGTGTTACATAACTCAGAGCAGCAGCTACTGTGGTGATAGATGTTTGACGTGCTGACAATGCCATCTTGCATGCTGCAAGCACAAGGGGACAGAAGTCGGTTGACTGAAAGCCTCCGAGAAAATGTTAAATCCCTCTACCTAAAAATGTCAGAATTAGACGTGTTATTCAGTGATCTAACGTGGTAAGAGCTGGGATTGTTCTGCTTCAGAGGGGACAGAATAGATATCTGGTCAGCTACACTGTTGCTATGCAACCCCTGGTCTCATCTGTAACATAGGGTAGCGTTTCGTCCCACTCCGATTGGTATACTTGCATACATGTTTCCACACACACATGCAGGCACACGCCACATCCCTGCGACAGTGCAGTTTGGAAACCTCCAAAGCATCACTGATTGAAACTCAGAGGCCTCTCCACATTTCACACACTTCAGTTGGGAGAAAATAATAATCAAACTTCATAAAGTCACACATCAAGTAGACAATTTATTTCAATAATTCAGCTCAAAAAAGTGAAACTCCTACACACAATCTTTATTCACATGGATTTATTAATCGTTTATATTAAATTGGATGAATATGACTTGAATCTGATTTAATTCAATTTTTGCTGACGACCAATGACGAGGGATTTTTAAAACAAAAAACGTTTATGTTGTGGCAATGTTGCGGCCTACAAGTTCAAGGTAAGGCTGAGGACTTGATCGTCATCCAACAACAAGCAGCAGGTAGTCAAATTATTTGCTAAAGAAGCTGGCTGTCCACACTGTGTTGTAGTCAAGCATATTAATCACAAATTGAGTGGAAAGGGGAAAATGTAGAGAAAGGCGCTTAATAAAAGTACCAGTAGGTGCTTTAATGACCGTGGTAACACTGATTTGTCACCAAAATGGCCTGACCTGAGCCCTGCAGGCAGCCTGTGGAGTATCGTCATGATGGGAGAAAGCAGAGCCAACAATGTGGATGAGATAGAAGCTGCTAGTAAAACCAGGGCTTCCTCCACAGGTTTAAGAGCTCCACGCCACCTTGCACTGGTGCAATAATTAATCCAAAAGAAGCCCCAACTAAATATTGAGGGTACACATTCTGTGTAAGATCTGCTTCTATTGATCTTAGGTAATATTATGAAGTTTCTGTGAAGCTACATTTTGTGCTGAGAATTAAATGCTTGATGTGAGTAATCAATGTAACGTGCATTTTATATTTTGATTTGAATTATTGAAATTAAATGTTTATCTTTAAAAGAAATTCAACTTTATGTAATGTTTTTATTTTATTTTATAGTGTTTTCCGTATTCAAAGTTCAAAATGATCTGCCAGCAAGCCACATACAATACACTGAAATGACATTGCACTACATCTCATCTGACATACAGAGAAATATAAAAAAAAAAGATCTTGCATCATAAAACCCCTCTCTTGCACAACCTATGAGCCAAACCATCTGAATGCATGCTTTAGATTTCTAAGCAACCCCAAAAGGGCCAGAGGCAGACTCTGCATGACCAAAGTCATGCAGGAAGGTCGCGGTGATTGTCGACCGTATATAGACATGGGAGAGAGAAGGCTTGAGGGTCCAAGTGGCAAGCAGCGCTATCGATCAGTGCCACGAGCTCTGAAATAGAAGAGACCAGAACACCCTGCAGGAGGGGGAGGAATACTCTTTGTACCTTAATGCCACTGGGCTGTAAAGTGCTTCCATTTTCCATTTAGTTTGCTCCCCTTTTCCCCCCTCCTTTTTTCTTTGAGAAGGCTGCCTTCTCTCAGACAGCTGCAGCAAAGCGGAAATCTCGATTAAAGCACTCCCAATAATGCCTATAGTAGTTTCTTGTAGGGAGCTGGAATAAGAAATGAACCTTTATTTTATTATTTCATTTACCTTTTATTTAAAAAGTGGTGGTATTTCTTTTCTTCTTCCCCCTTTTCCTTTTATTGGAAAGGCAATTAAGTGAAGTCAACTGAGGAATCAAATCTCTTGCATCGCAAGGAAAAGGGGGAAGATTATGAGCCGAATGAGAACAAATTTAGCAGGCTGCTGCATGATCTTTGATGAATTTCTGGCTATGGTTTAATTCAACAACTTCCTGCAATTTGGCACAGAAAGAAGCCACTTGAGGACACAAAGAGAGAACGTTCATCTGCATCTTCTTCAGCAGAAGTGCAGCTCAGCGCTGAAAGCACTGCCGTCAGTGCTGACAGGGGAGCTTTCAAATCTGATAAGCTCTGTAGGGCTTTGATGACAGCTTTGTACGTATGCTACAAACTTGTACATTACTGAACATGTTCTATATGGTATGTTGTAATTTAACTGAATTTGTCTGAGATCAGACCCTGTGTGTTTCACTGAAGAATTGGCTTTTGAGAAAAGGATATCATAGAGTAAAGCGTCCAAGCTAGGACAGTTGAAGGAGCAAAAAGAAAAAGGGGGGAAAAGCAGCATTTAGTGATAGTTTATAACAATTGTAAAGGAATAGTTCAGAATTTTTAAGGCATACTATTATAAGCTCTTTTTGTGGTAATTTAGCATAAAAAAGTTAAAAAAAAAACTTAAACAATTAGATCTGTTCGAACATGTTCCAAGATGAAACGATTCCAGTCTGACGACAATTTCAGTCTCAGAAATGTTGTAGTTTGTTTCTACACACAGTATGTTGTAACCCTTTAACATCACATTCTCAGTTAAGCCCAATCGTATTTGTTACCTTGGCAAATTCAAAATTAATGTAAACATTTTAATTAGTATCACCTACATGTTTATTTTGATTGGTACTAGTATTAATGTTTTGAAGCAGATTTCTGATAGAGAATTATTTTAAAGGAGCAAAAGATTAGAGTTATAGCAATGAGTTTGAGTTCATCACTAAAGATAAATCATCAAAATATTGGTGAAGACATGCAAAAAGATCATCAGCACTTTATTGCTGCAATGCCATGTGAGACATTGCAGAAAGTTCAAAATTTACGCATTCCTTTTTTAAAAAAATAAAATGTTCAAAAAGCACAAAAATTATTTTCACAAAAAACTGACCTTTATAGATAGCTTTGTCCTCTTAGAGAGGCCTGCCTCAATTTCTAACAGAAGCAACCTTCATGACTAAATGGAAGTAATTTTTAATCCAAATCTGCCAGGGGTTAGATCAAGTCTAACTAGGCGTAGCTGCAGGTAGGAGGTTCTGCACCATCAGTGATATTCCTGTGTAGAAAAAGCACTGAGAACAGAACATGTAAAGCATTTCCATTAGCAGACTGATAGAAAAGCAAAGTGCTGTGAGTTGATGCTCAAGGAAATGTTTTCTCATTTAATTTGACACTTTCTGACTTTTCGATCAGGCATTTACTCAACATATGATTCACACAGGAAGATCGTCTGCCTGGCAGGCCGCCTTCTACTGTGTAGATAATTATTAGCGGTTTTTTTTTTTTTTTTTTGTAAATTAAAGTTCAGATAAAATGCCTTCATATGAACCACTGTGATAGTTTTGAGTTCGGAGGTTTTTAAGACATCAGAAATAAACTTTGGTCTTTGCTCTTCTTATGCTATCTGTTAGCTTTATCCTATAAATCCAGCTAATCTCAATTTGCAACTTGGGCTCTTTTTGTCCCAATCATGACTTTTGATATATTTTCAAACAATCATTTATTCAAGTAATTCAAGTCAATAATTGAATCGTATATCTATTTGCTTGTATACATTTATATATTACAAATAGAGTGATATTTTTCAAGTATTTCAGCATCTCTGAACCGTCTCTGGTTAAGAAGAGGCTGAACAGATAAAATGTGACATTAGTAGATGGACACATCTATGTGTGGCAGATTTTAAAACGCTGACCTGCGCATGTTAGAAATCTTAAACCTAGGAAAAAAATAATAATCTAGAAAGAGTTTCACCAGACAGGTTTTGGTCACTGCTGTCCACTTTCTGCTAAACTTTTTGCTTCCACTCAACTTTCCATTAGTATGCTTGATACAGATCTCTGTGAAGAGCCAGCTTATAAAGAGATAACTCGTTGCTTGTCGAAGGTGCCAGGGACCGTCAGCTGAACAACTGTCACAGAAATCATAAAATAGCTACAACATAACATTTCTTTATCAAGAATCCCTTTTTATTGCTTTGCTATAATGTTGCAGTTTTCTGAGAAACTGAATTTGTAGTTTTCTTTAGCTGTGCTGCGTCGTGAAAATCGAACAAATAAAATGAAACGCATCACTTTTTGCGTTTTAAATCAATGTTATGTCACTTTTTAAACTGAATTACTGAAATAAACACTTCAATTGTAATTTCTAGTGCAAGCAAGCAAAGCGAGTTTTTTTCACAAATCCTGAACTATCCCTTTAATTGCAGAGTGCTTCTTTATGGGTTACAAATTGTTACCACTTAACTTCTTATGTCGTTTCCCGCCATTCTGCCTCCTGTCTTAGGTTTTCCCCCATCACCATTGACAGCATGACGAGCCTGGTGGGCATGAACATCCCCGGCCACACAGGCACCGGTTGGTGCATCTTTGTGTACAACCTGTCCCCGGACTCGGACGAGAGCGTGCTCTGGCAGCTGTTCGGCCCGTTCGGCGCCGTCAACAACGTCAAGGTGATCCGTGACTTCAACACCAACAAGTGCAAAGGCTTCGGCTTCGTCACCATGACGAATTACGACGAGGCGGCCATGGCCATCGCCAGCCTCAACGGCTACAGGTTGGGCGACCGCGTCTTGCAAGTCTCCTTCAAGACTAACAAGACACACAAGTCCTGAACTCTCGACAGGCAGAAGCAGATGCCCCGCGACTTTGTCTGCTCTAAATTCGCCCCCCCCGACCCCGACCCTTCCCCTCCACCTCCACTCGTCCCTTAGGTCTCTCCAACCACCGCCACCCTCCTACAGCCATCCAACACAGCAGAATCAAACTCCTGGAACAGAAAGCAGCCAACAAACCATCTAACAAATTGAACTAGAAATGGCTTATATTATAACTTTGGACCTATAAGCCAATGTTGCCTGAGTATTACAAAAATTAAATGATGAAAATGTTGACGAGTTTTTTCGAAGCTCCTGTGATAATGCAGGCTTCTCTTTATTGTATATTCTTTTCGTTTGTTGTGGTTGTTAAAAATTTTTTCTCTTCTGTGTAAACAGTAGCAAATCCCCGTACTTCAGAGAAGAGGTCATCCTTTTTAAGATCGGAACCTTTTCTCTGTCTTTGATTCAGGATTTAATTTTCTTTTGTAAATCCGGATCCACTGTCGTTAGTATTATATACCTCCCCTGTCAATGAAAGGGAGGGGGCTCTTTTTTAAATTGGTGAAACCATTCATTCATTTGTAGCGTGCATTTAAAAACGTCCCCTTATTGATTATAGATGGGATCCTACGATCCCCTGAAACTCAGATGTAGAAAAGAAGAAAAAAAAAAAAAAAAAGAGAATTTCTAACATTGTTTTTGTTTTGTATCGCAAACAAAACATAATGTCTTTCCTCACTGGGATTTAGGGAGATGGGGTGAGGGAGGGGACGGGTTAGCTTTCCTGATGATATGTTCAGTAATTTAAGATAATAAAAAAAAAAATAACACTGTTGCCAAAGAGAAGATCTCTTTGCTTGAAAAAAATGCATTTAGAAAAAGATAAAAATAAATAGAAAGAAGATCTATTTTTATAAATGATGATTAAAATAATAATTATTGAAGAATTTTTACAAGAATCTGGATTTGAAAAAAAAAAAAAGAGAAAAATATTTTGACTGGCTAACTGGGGGGGCCGGGGCGGGCGGGAGGGGGCACCACCTTGTCTTGTCGTTCTGCTGTGGTAACTTTATAGGATCAGAGGTCGTTGTTTTTTGGTGATGCCGAGTAGGTCGGGATTTTGTAGAAAGGAGGATTTTGTGAAAAAGAGGATGCAAACCAAGGCAGGTGATTTTGGTAATTTTTTCACATGTGTACTAGTGCATAATTATTCAACAGCGATACCCAAAAGGGAAGGGAAATGGGGTCTTTCCGAGGCCTAACAAACCTTATAGTCCAGAGCCCAAAGCAAGAAGACCCTTTTGTCCACTTGTTTTCTTGTGTTTCGTCACGAGTCGATATATCAGTACATAGATATATACACATCTATCCATTTAAAGAGCTTACTATACATTATCTATATCATTTCCTTTGCTCTGCGTTTGTGAACTTAACATTTGAAGAGAACTTCCTTTTAGCGATCAACCGTAGGTGCTATACTACATTATTCACATATCTTAAATATTCAACTTTGTTGTTCTATGTGTTGTTTAAAGAAAAAAAATACTTTGATGTTGGCATTGAATTGAGCTGCTGTTCTTTGTTTAATATTTGTTTAATGTCGGCCCACTAATCCGGTGACACCATTTCTATGCGGAAATTAAACTAGCTTGGGGCCTTGTAAGAATCACTGAACAAATTTGTACATTTTCTTTTTTTGTTTGTTTGTTTGTTTGTTTTGTTTGGCTTGCTGACTTTTAGGTTACTCGCTGAGCGTGAAACGTTTGTCAAAACTTAATGATGATTAGCTAGTTCCGTTAGTCTAGATATTTTCCTTAAAAAGGATCTATGACAACTGTGTCTTTATTTGCTGTGTACAAATAGATGATATATATAAATATATATACAGTCTACATTTGTTTTACAATATCTACTGTACTTATCTGAGTTGTCACTGTTTTTTCGTTTGAGCTTGTCTTTTTCATATGACAGTTTATTATGAAGTGGTGGTTCAGTTACTTAGAAAAAAAAATTGTGAGGAAACTGTTCAATTGTTGTCATGTTGCTTGTGGAGAAAAAAAAATTGGATTAACTTTTAAGTTAACTACTGCGGCAAAAGAAACTGAACAAAATTTTAAAGAATATAAGTGTGTTTGTTTATTTACTTATCTATTTTTAAACTATTTATTTTTTCTATTTATTTGTATTTATTCTATATTTATTAACTGCTTAATTTATCTGTGTATTTATGTATTTATTTGTTTCATTGTCTGTGTATTTGCGTGGTTCTGGTACAGGGAGGGGGGGCGTTTCTGAGCAAAAGGGAACAAAGCGACTAGTGGAGAGGCTCTTCCAGTAGTCCACTGCACTGAGAGAACTTTTAGTACGTTTGTGCTTTGTACCAATATATCAAAATTACAATATAAAAAAACCTAAAAGTCAAGAAAACTGAAAAAAATGTCTGGAGGGTTGGGGGACGCTCTTCCCTTATTACTAGAAACAGTTACTCGCTATGCATAACCTAGTTAATAGTTAAATTTGCTATTGCTTTTTTCCTTGTCTTGTTAAAAATGAAATCTCTAGATCTTTTTCAATAAAGTTTAGTCTTATTAGAATGTTATAAACAGTCGTTCTGGTTCAATATAACCTGTGATAAGTTTGTGTAGTTCTAAAAAAGCCACTCCGTCCACACCCTCCCTCCACTTACTACCGCTTTGTGATGAAACCTTATGCAAAAATGTGGGTCTGAAAGCATAGTTTTCAGTTTTCAGTAAAAAACAAAAGAACAAAAAAAAAATAAACAAAAAAAAAATACATTTTTATTCAACATAACAGCTCTTAGAGGCTTGGGTAGATTTACATTTTTTGAAATTGTTATTCGAGGGTCATTCATTGCACTGGACTAAACAGGTCACTCAAGAGTCAAAACTTATTTTTAAGAATATTCATCATGTTTTCAAATGACACACCAACAAATGTTTTAAAAAGTTGTTACCATTGCACACAAACTGCTATTTGCAGCAGTTGTTGCTATATTTGAGAAATACTCTGGAGGTATAAAAGGGGATTGTGCTGAGTCTATATTTTATATACTCTAATATGATATATATTATATATTTTGAACGGAGAAAGGTAAGGGAAAGGTTCCAGAAGTATAAATATAAGGAATTGGATTTTTTTCTGTTTGTTGTTGAGGCTTGAAAACATGAAGGAAGTGTGTTGGGGAGCATTTGAAACGTTCACACGCGTAGCTACATCCTTCTGTCCCATCTGGAAAAACCGGGTCATCTCTCTCTATATATCGTCATCCCCCATTTTCCGATCACGTCGAAACAGCAACAGACCAACCAGACCCCTTCACGCTCCCCTCCGCCGGTCGGGAGCCTGAATTATGCAACGACCCCAGTAGAATGTTCTGATGTGTGGATTTCGTACTCTGCGTGACTTTTTCAACTCTTAGGATGCGCGTGCCTGTGTTCCCGCCTGAAAACCACGGTGTGCACGTTTGTGTGGGCGCACATCTGTGCACGTTTGTACGCATGTTCCTTTACGTCGACGTGAGCGTGTCTGTCGGCATACCGAAGTAGATTTATGTGTGAAGTGGAAATGCTTTTAATGTATTCATTCAGTGCACACCCTTGAATGCGTGTTTGTGAGTATGTGACGGAGATGTCAAAGGGTGATTGTTTAGAGTATGCGCGTGTGTGTGCGCGTGTGTGTGTGTGTGTGTGTGTTTGAAACATGGGGCTGCGTCACCTCGCTCTATGCCCGACCCCTATGGCTCACACCATCCCCCCGTAGCGCCTTATAGTGGCAGCCTGCCAGTAGGAACAACGCAGCCAGTAGTGGAGGAGGGAAGGTGAACAGAGGAACTAGGCTCTTCTTGTCAGTTTTCATTTTCCTCCTGAGACGTGTTTATTTACTATCTGAAAAATCTATAAACAAAATCTTTAAAGACAAAAAAGATGAAAAAATGTTCACAGGGCCCCGTGACCGCGGCTCTCTCTACTCTCTCCTGCTTATGTTATTACTTAACACTTATCAATGATGATTATTATGATTATTATTGCTATTATTCTTAGTATTCTTATTATTAATCCAATTATTGCGATGAATGACTTCATGTTATCCTTGCTAGTTTAGGTCATTTCTGAAACTGGAAACAAAATAAAAATCTTGCTGTAAATGTTTGTTTTTTCTTTTTCATAAAACTGTTGTGTTTAAATTATTTGTACTTTTGAATGTTGGGACAATAAAATGAGGTGTTAAAAACTGGGAGGTTGCTTGTCATTAACAATTTTTAAATACTTCAACTTTTACATAATAGAATCATAAATTTACTTTAGGGCTGCACAATCTTAGTAATAATTTAAAAAACAAACATTGTATTGCCATAGTTGTGTCAAATATTGACCGTATCGGTTGTGATTAGTCGCATGCTGCTCTCTTGCTGAATGCTTTTTGTTGTTCAGTTTATGTGAGCTTATGCATTTTAGTCCACAAGATCAGGTTTGTGTATTTGCTGAAGTAGTAGTAGGAGGTGAAGGCTATGGAAATTCCCTACAACTAGCTAAATGCATTATGAAAATGTAGATTCTGCATTCAGTATCTGCCCTGATTTTGCATAGATATTTCTGTGAAACAATCTTTCTGCTGTCAATTGTTGTCACTTAGTTGTTCTTTTCAAATCTCAGTCTAACTAAAATACTGAAATCAGTTCACAGGAACATTCCTCTAATTAGAATAATCCATACGATGCTGAATACTCTGTCAGTGAAAACGTTGTACACATTAATCCTGGGTATGAGTGTAAATAATTCTGGTCTTTGAACATGTTTGTATCTTTTAGATTTAAAGACAGGATGATCATGAACTACAGTTTTAGTTAATTTTAGCGAGTCCGATGTGTCTGGCAAGGCCATTTGAAAGACTTTCACTTAGTGAACAAATTTTGAGTGTGGATCCCCGTCTTGTTTTAGTGCTCAACCACGTCTATCTTTTAACCATTTGGCCAAGATCATCCTCAAAAGAAAGGAAATCCAACTGAGGATATATTTTGTTTCATCCCAAAGTCGTAAACTAGGAGGTGCCAAAGCGCCGGCGCCTTTATCCAGATTGAAGTGAAGTTAAACCATCAACTGAGCATAAATGTAGTCTCTGCTCCAAACCCGACTCCTCAAAGCATGAATCTTAAACCGAGAACCTGGGAACTTTTAGATACGTTCAAAACACATGAATCAAGTTACCTTCTTGGCATTTCACTATTTTCAGAGCTCTGCTAGTGACCAGATTAATAGATCTAGATACATCGACACATTAAACCTTGGTGGTCCGCAGTGACAGAAGTTAAGACCTCTACTACACAATTTAAATCTCCACTTGTCCACATGTACATGCTACAAAAATGTTCATCCACAAAGACAAGAAATGTTTTGGGAGTAAATTGCAGGGAATTCAAGAAAACTGTACCGACTGCCAAGCCTTGTGGTGTGGTGATACTTGTGCAGTCCAGAAAATAGCTGGACAAAAGAAGGAGGACTACTTACAAATTATTTAACTTCACCTAAAATCTGGTGATGGTTGAAATCTGGACACACAACTGAGTGTTACAAAATCAGACCCACTTCAACTGGTCTGGAATGGAGAATGATAGAATATTATTAAGCTTTCTATCTTAATGTTGTTGCATATTGACTGACAAGGATCAAGAATCACTTCTTTCCCCAAAATCAAAGCAGTTCCCTCAAACGTCTGATTGGAAGTGCGGCAAAATACAGAAGCATGATGTTTCTCTGTAGCTTGCTATGATACTCATCCAAATATCAGTGGCAGTGAATTTATTTTTTTTTTAAGCCCATTTGTATAATTTTACCCCAATCTGGATTAGAGAAAACCTCTTTAATAAATGTATGCACCTAATCTTGGCTTTGAAGTTATTTGTTCAAATAAATCATCAAAACCCAAAACGAATAATGACATTCATGATAATTAAGAGTGTGTGTAAACTTTTGACTGGAGAATGATGCAACATAAAGCTAAGATTTGTTCATCTAACTGACCAAAAAACCATTTTAATCAAAAACAATCATGCTAAGGGCTCAGTTTAAAGGTTAAAAGCTATTCTGATATTTTTGAAATATCTTTTTTTTTTTTTTTGTTTAGTTAATAAGGAGACATTAAAGTTGCTGCCCTGTTACATTCACCCTTTTTTGTCTCTCAAGGTTTGAAATTAGTTTTACCACACACCAAAAGTGCAACATTAAATCACACGTTTAATGTGTGTTGAGTGTGACCTTTAAGCTACTGAGACGGTCATGATTGTGAGGTAGTAACAGTGCAGACATAAAACGCACCGCTGATCTCACTGAGCCCTCTGAGGAGAAGCTGGAGGACAAAAGGGAGAAATAAAGTGCAGCTACATCACTGAGATAACACTGCCCCCTGCATTTCTACCTTTGTGCCTCCATGTTCTTCATCCTTAATTAGAAAAGACGGTGAGAAGAAGTTTTGAGAGAATTAAGTTTTGCAAGACATGCAAGTTATTTTTAAAGGTTTTGACTAACTCTTCTGGCAGTGAGCATTGAGTGCAGCAAACGGAGCAATCAACAAAATCCCACAAACAGCAGCTGCATCATTTAAGATTAGCCCGCAGTTGTCCCTAATCCTCCAATTATTCTCTGTATAACTATAATGCAAACCAATAAACCCAAACTGTAAATGCAGTGCAGCCCCATCCATTTATGGGAAATGAAGGATTATGATCAGTCTCATTTGGATAGGGAGATTGTCATTAGGGGGGGGGAGGACAGCAGGAAGAAAAACACCAGTAACTTCTTAATAAATAAATATGAATGTCTATTTGTGAAATGAACAAAAAGCTGAGACATGAATTATGAGCAGAAAGCAAATGAGGTTCATCAGAGATGATGACATAAAAAGTTTTTGCTGTAGAAAAGTTAGATTATAAACATTTCACCGTTAAGCTAATTAAAATCCATCCATCATCTTTACCCGCTTGTCCTTGCAGGGTTACAGGAGGCTGGTCAATGAGACAGAGGCAGGTTACACCCTGGACAGGTCACCCGTCCATCAGAGGACAGCACAGAGACGCACAGGACCAAAACAACATGCACGCACAGATTGATACCTAAAGGCAATTCAGAGTAATTAATTAACAACAATGATGTTTTTTTGTTTTTTTTTGGTCTGTGGGAGGAAGCCAGAGTACCCAGAGAGAACCTCTACATTAACAAACTCCACAGAGAAAGTTCACCACAGCCGACGGTCGCCCATTAGGGAATTTGGGGAAGATTGACAAGCTGGAGTCAATACATTTTGTTGTAAATCACTCAAGCACTCAACATTTCTTACAAGACAAAAGGAAACAAAGTTATCAAATGTTACGTTTGTGAACAGGCTGTAATTTACAGTACTTTAAGGGTATGTCCTTCTATCACCATACTATGACTTATCGCATAGTAATTAGCTTAACGGTGAAATGTTTATCATCTAACTTTTCTACAGCAAAGAGAAACATTTACTGCCTTGTCACTTATTTGTACAACCCCTCCCCAACACTGCCTTGGTCCACAAGTTAACTTTTTCTTATGTTTGGTTGTGATTCCTGTCCTAGGTTAATGTTGCTTTGCCGTGTATTTTGGGACCTGCACAATATAAGGAGGTATATGTGGCATTGTTGATGCTAAGAATTGAAAGGTTGGTTATTTTCGTTCAAGAGAGGCCCGGGCTGCTCAGAGAACTTCATGAGCTGTTTACATAACCGCTGTCTTCCTATCC